TATTATTATTATTATTATTATTATTATTATTATTATTATTATTATTATTATTATTATTATTATTATTATTATTATTATTATTATTATTATTATTATTATTATTATTATTATTATTATTATTATTATTATTATTATTATTATTATTATTATTATTATTATTATTATTATTATTATTATTATTATTATTATTATTATTATTATTATTATTATTATTATTATTATTATTATTATTATTATTATTATTATTATTATTATTATTATTATTATTATTATTATTATTATTATTATTATTATTATTATTATTATTATTATTATTATTATTATTATTATTATTATTATTATTATTATTATTATTATTATTATTATTATTATTATTATTATTATTATTATTATTATTATTATTATTATTATTATTATTATTATTATTATTATTATTATTATTATTATTATTATTATTATTATTATTATTATTATTATTATTATTATTATTATTATTATTATTATTATTATTATTATTATTATTATTATTATTATTATTATTATTATTATTTTGAGTTGAATGTGAAATAAATAACACACTTTTTAGTAGTTTGTTATCGGAAAACCTTAAAGAGAATGTGGTTCACTGGTTTGTAATTTTAGGAACACTTGAAAAGGCATGTTCATAAAAGAGAATTAGAACATATACCAAAACTGAAGTTAAATAATTATAGATCTGAAAAATCTCACGGATCTTATTTGATGGGGAGTAGTTATTTCAGCCGATTTTATAGATACAATTTGGAACATATTCCAAAAGTAACAATGTTTTCTTTTAGACTGTTTTCACTTTTCAGTTCCAAACAAGATCGGATCAGACCAGATCAGACCTGACTTGACTTCCGAAGTTATAAAATACACAGAGACCAGATGTTTACGAGATCAGACTAGACTAGCTAGACCAGCAAATTTCAGTCCAAAAGAAAATATTCTAATTATAGTTCTGTTAAATTAAAAGAATTATACGGAGTACAATTTTTTCAATTAATTAAGGATTTTTTTATCGTATCAATTAATTAAGGATTTGAAAAATAGGTTCATGTTGATATGATACCTGAAGAATAAAATGTATAGATATATGATGTTTTCTTTTGGACTGTTTTCAGTCCCAGACCAGACCAGATCAGACCAGACCAGACTTCCGTAGTTATAAAATACACAGAGACCAGACGTTTGCCAAACCAGACCAAACCAGACCAGATCAGATCAGACCAGACAAGCAAATTTCAGTCCAAAAGAAAACATCCATAGTGGTCTAAGTATTGAAAATTATCAATATAAGAACCAAAATATCATATACTTCCTTTTTTCTTTTAAAACTAAGTCAACTTTTCTTTTTTGGATATCCCATTAACCTTTTCATTTTCTCTTTTAAATTTGGTTCTCTTCCCAAAAAAAATTGTGGTTCTAGTTCATTCTCTCTTCTATGTACAAACGTCAACCACACAACTTTTACTTTATTAATCTCTGTGCCAGTCAATCTTGACACAGTTAATTTTAAGGGACGAAGGAAGTATATTTTTATTCTTTTTATCGATTGCATTGCTAATTTTTGATTGCTTTTCCATCAGGGGCGGACCGTAGTACAGATCCAGAGGGGTTACCGCCCCTCCAACAATTTTATTTTTTAGTGTATATGTATAAAAAAAAAATCGCCCCCTTAGAAAATAATTTCCGCCATCAAAAAATATTTTGAACCCTCCCAACATGAATTTTCTGGGTCCGCCCCTGTTTTCCATAAAAATTTATTCGTTTATCACGACTAAGCAATGTTAAAAAAATTTAAATAAAAAAGTGGGTTTATGTTCATGTGATTGATTTTAAAAATTTATTAGTTTAATACGACTAAGCAATATTAACATTGGGACATGAGGATGTAACACAATTATTAAAAAAACAGATTTATGTTCATGTGATTCATATGAACTGATAAAGTAAGTATAAAACAAAAATAATTTAGAAACACATAAACTTTATCAAGTTTGTTAAGAAATAATTTTATTGGGATGGAATGAAAAAAAAAAATAGGAAAATATTAAGAACGCTGAAAAAGTATTACAACTACTAGAATATTAGCTATGAGATTGATTGTAAAATTTTCTTGGAGGTCCTAAACTAAACCGATAAGTTTTAAAGAAAAAGGGTCAAATAAACTCATGTATTATAAACTCATGTATTATTGTGAAAGTATCATCTAAGCCCCTTTACTAAAGAAAGCATAAGATGAGTGCATCTACTCATTCTATTGTGAAAAAAACAATCAACCAAGTCCAACCACGGGAAAGCAACCTGCTATAATAGGTTAGAATAAGTTTTGACCTTTTTTTATTCATTTTCCCATTTTCTTCTTTTCCTGGTCTAGCTATGAGCCATCCAATTGTTTCTCGCTGCTACCATTTGTTGGCTTAATTGTTTTCTTCTTATTACTCCACTCATCCAGACATCCAGTGCATGTAATCCATATTGTTATATCGTGTTTTTTGTTTGTTCTTCTTTTTCCCCATTTTTTCCTTTTCTATGTATTGTCTTTCTCTAAGAATTTTTTTTTGGCATTTTTCTAATTATGTCAGTAAAATATCATCTTTGGTTCATAAATAATCTCATTCTTGAAAAGTAAATATATGATTTAGAGGTCATTTGGTAACACTGTTTTCCGACTTATCAGGCTTATCAACGAACTTTTTCACCAAACACGTAACTTTTGTTTTCGGACGCTGAATATTATAATAATAAGAAAAAGTGAGGTTGGAGTTACTTTTCTGGCTGTATTGGCTGAAGTTACTGTAGATGACCATTTTAGCTGTTTTTACATATAATTTTTTCTTTATTTTACTAATAAAATATATTTCAATTTTTTTTCTTAAATCAGCAGAATTAGCCAATGCAACCATTTCGGCCAGAACTTCATAAATTTCAGTAGAATCAACTAAATAAGCCGATTTTCGGGTTGCCAAACGGGCTCTTAGTAATATTTTTTTTTCTTAAAGAAAAATCACACTTTAAATCTTTCAGTTATTATCCATGTTTCTTTGGAGTTATTATCCATGCTATTTGTATAATATTGACATTTTTAATATTGTAACTTTAGAAATAGTAAAAACAATTATACACTTTGGTACAAATTATCAAATCTTCCGCACCAACATTTTTTGTATCTAAAGTTATACTGTAGATAAAATTTTAATTAAAATCATCCAGACAATAAATGTCTAGCATAACCAAAAAAAATTCAAACGCGGCATGTATACTTTTTTTGACATCCATTTACTTTTTTTATCATGTATTTTTCAGACGAGAGGCCGTTTGATAACACTGTTTTTCGGCTTATGAGGCTTATCAGTCAACTTTTTCACCAAACACGTAACTTTTATTTTCGCGCACTGAATTGTGTAATAATAAGAAAAGGTAAGGTTAGTGTTACATTTTTGCCGTATTGGCTGAAGTTACATTAGATGACCATTTTAGCTATTTTACACATATAATTTTTTCATTATTAATAAATTATATTTTAAACATAGCATTTTCTTAAATCAGCAGAATCAGCCAATGCAGTCACTTCAGCCAGAGCTTCATAAATTTCAGTTGAACCAGCCGAATCAACCGATTTTCGTGTTACCAAACAGGCTTTGATTGTTTTTTTCTTGTTCCCTAACTCATCTAACAAAAGTTGTCGGCACGTACAAAAGATTTTGAAAATGTGTACAAAAAAAAATACATTTTTTACCGACTTAAACATTTAAGTTTGTTATGGACATTATTTTCTGTAAGCATGAACTCCTTCGATAGTTTTTGTCCGTGAAATAATTTTACAAAAAAAACCGGGAAGAAGATTTATGAAAATCGGTTCTAAATTACACAATTTTCTGGCCTTGTCTGAAACTTTTTTCCCAGCATTAGACATTTGTTGTTTTTAAAATTGGATTTTCCGACCGACTTTTTCGATTGCCTCACTTTATAGAATTTTGAAAACGTGTACAAAAATTATACAATTGGACTTTTGAAGTGACACATGATGCAACAAAAAGAGAGGTAACAAATGTTCTTGATTGAACTAAAAAATCCTGATGATGTGATTTGGTCTGTGTAAGTCTTGACCAATATGTTTAAGTCGTGTCCGAGTGTGATCTAGTAAACATTTGGTGAATGTGTATTTTATTATTATCTAAATATAACATGATCTGGTTAAATATGATCTAATCTGATAAGGTATGTTTAAGTCGGGTGTGGACTCGTTTGAGACTGGAAATTGCAAATTAAAATAACCTAAGAAGGAAGGAAGAAAAAAAGTAAAAAGGAAAAACAAAAAATGCAAAGATAGAAGAAAAAGGAAATGTGGAACGAAGAGAAGAATGAAGACAAAAAAATTGGGAGAAAGCAATGTTGAAAGAGAATACGATAACGAAAAAGCTATGAGAAAATGAGCTTGAAGCTTTGGGGTACATGGGAATAAAAAACGGCCTGGAAGGGGTTGAAGAAAAAGCAAAAAGGAAAAGAAAATGGAAATGAAAACAGATACGTTGAGGGTGAAGAAAAAGAAAAATAAAGGAAAATAAAACGTGGATGACTTGTTATAGCAGGTTGCTATTGGGTCACTTGACCATATTGATGGTTTTTTGAAGTGTACTACGGTGATTCTTTTTTTAGTAGAAGGGCTTAGATGATGGATTCGTAATAGTAAATTTATTAGTTTATTACGACTAAGCAATAATAACATTGAGATATGAGAAGGTAACACAATTATTAAAAAAATGGATTTATGTTCATGTGATTGATATTGAACTGATAAAGTAAGTATAAAGCAAAAATAATTTAGAAACACATAAACTATATCAGGTTTGTTAAGGAATAATTTTATTGGGATGGAATGAAAACAAAAATAGGACAATATAAGCAAGACTGAAAAAGTATTGAAACTACTAGAATATTAGCTATGAGATTGATTGTAAAATTTTCTTGGAGGTCCTAAACTAAACCCATAAATTTTGAATAAGAATGTATGGGCCGAGCTAGGGGAAGATCATCTCTGACTCTGGCCCAGTTCAAATTTTAAAAATACTTATATTTTTAGTGTAAAAAATTCTATTTAAAAGAATTTCAAAAATATTTTTGGACCGTTCTATAGTTAAACACAAACAATGACCGGGCCCAATAATTTATGAGATTGATATTGATATGCAAAGGGCTAAATTATGCATAAATCTTCCCAACACAGAATCCGCAGGGTCGCCCGCCGTCTTCCTTCCCATTACATGAAGAGAAAGATGGACAATTACGGCGGTGGCTGCCCCAAAAAGCCGCCGCTTTTCGGCGCTTCACCAAAATTTTCAAATTCCGCGGTTCTTGATTTGGCGCCCCAAGATTCCGCCCTTGAGCTTCTAATCCGCGTGGCGGAGAGCTTGGGTCTCATCCAATCGCCATCGCCGCCTTCATCTCCGCCGCCAAGCCGCCGCCCAGACGAAAAGATGAAAGGAAAAGCCAACTCGCTCTGCTCAGTGAAAGAAATCTCCAGTTTCCCGCCGCCGCGAAACGGCCACCAAGAACGCGGCGAGCCGTCCCGCGTGTTTTGCTCGATCTGCGACGACGCGAAGCCGCCAAACGCGATGAAGCGCGGGACCGACTGCCGCCACGTGTACTGCCACGAGTGCATCAGAGAATACGTACGAGTGGAAATTAAAGAAGACATACACGGAATCAAGTGCCCGGATTCCGACTGCAAAAAGAATCTATGCATGGAGTTCTGCCTGGATTCCTCGGACTCGAAGGAACTGGTCGAAACGTGGGTTAATGCGAAAAGGGAATGTGAAGCCCTGGCGAAGCTGTGCATTATTAGATGCCCGTTTAAAGATTGTTCTAGAACTTTCCTTGATGACAGGAAAGATTTCTTGATAAAAGCATGCCCTTTTTGCTGGAAATTATTTTGTAGGGATTGTGAAGTGAAGTGGCATATGGGAATGGACTGTGGGGAGTACAAATGGTCTTTGCATATGAGGACTGTTCTAAGGCTGCATCAGGTTATTGGCAGGGTTAGAAGAGTTCTAATTAATGGTCTCAGCTTTCATAAATAAAGCCATCTATGGATAAAGCAATTGTCACAGAATATATACCACTCTTTTCCAGTTTTCCTGCCTATAAAATCACCTTCACCAAATGATGACCAGGAGGAAGAGGATGAGGAGGTACATTATCAAATCAGGACCGGAATATATGTAATACGTAGTAGCTAGGCTAGGGACTAGGATTTTTCACTCGAATTTTAGTTTTACCTTATAATGATAGATATCGCACTGTATGTATACAATTGCATATTAATCTTATTTCTCATCCCTCACTAGATATAATTAAAAACCTTGATTAATTTACTGCTCTTTTGGATTATTTGTGGTGGTTTTGGACAGTAGCAATTAGAAATGCACTAGTACTGAATACTACTACTATTTGTTGCGGTGGGGATGACTACAGAAAAAGTCATACTCTTAATTTCTTTTGCTACGGTTATACGACAAACTGAAACATTTTTTATTCAAAATTAATCACTTTGTTCTCTTTAAATCCGTCTCTGGCAAGTTTTGAACTTGTGACCTCAAATAAATGTCGAAACGCGTACAAATAATTCTATATTCAATTCCAAACTAATAGACTAGGGTTATTTCTGTATTTTTGAGAATACCGTTATATTATAAATACATTTGACGAGGCTCCTAAGTGGGTAAATTGTTCCATTCTCTAACATGGTATCAAGAGCTTAGGCTAAACCTATTTTTTTCAGCTCTTCTCCCTGTCGCCGACCCTACTGCCGCTATGAATACTACTTCAGCCGCCGCCTTGAGCTCTGCATCGGAAGTCACTTCCGTCTCGGCGAGCGTGTCCTCCGGCATCCCCACCACAGCTCCGGTGTCTTGTGCACCCTCTCTATCAGCGTCACAACCATTCATTCCGTCGCAGCCTATCTTCTCGTTACAAGCAGGCTATCACTTTTCCAGCACCTCTTTAGCCTCGCCGTCCAGACCATCTCAGGCGTCCCTGTTCCAATCGTCGTCCAGACCTTCTCCACAGCCCTATTCTCTTTTCTAGAGCATGCTGCCGATGTTCACTTGGTCGACTCCTTCTCCAGTTTAGGCAGTGCCCTTGGAACCCCCACCGATGTCCGCTACTACGTTCTTTGAACTAACCTTTGTTGGATGCCAGGTATATTTACGCTCGTTTTACCTCCACTCACGGGTTTGGCTACTCTAGCAATATCTCCTATGGTTGAGATTGTGCAAACCTTGTCACATGTCTCAACCAACGTGACTAGCATCGTTACTACGTACTAAGCTCTCGACCAATGTGCCTATTTACTACGTACATGTCTCAACCAACGTGCCTATTTACGAGAGATTAAGCAACCGGTGGAGAATCTTTCTTCCATTAATAGTCATGTGTCTCAGAAAGACCTCATCAAATATATAATGATGGGGTTGGGTCCGGAATATGAATCTATGATCACTACTGTCTCGCTTTTTCCTCAAAACGTTCCATTCGAGACACTTTGGATTCACCTAATTGAATTGAACAAGAACAACGAGTCTTATTTCTCCAGCAGGAGGAATCTTCGTCTTCTCACCAGGCCTATGCAGTTCAGAATCCTCAGCAAGGACAGCCTCATCCTCCCTGTTACATACATTCCTCATAAAAGAGGAGGCTGAGGGCGTGGAGGACGTGGCCGTGGCAGGCGTGGCTGCGGCAGGCAGCAGCAGCAGCATGGGCCGATCGCCTATGGCCAGCAGCAGCAACCGTACCAGCAGGTCCAGCCCATGTACGGGGCAACAGTGCCCTGATATGCACTAATTAGTAGTGCATAAGTGTATGTTTCATAAGTGTATGTTTTTATGTTTGATTTGTGTGTATTGTTTATCGTTTTATTTAGTTTGTAAACATTTATGTGATTTTAGTTGTAATTGTATTTTAATCTTCATTTGTAAGTTGGAAAGCTTCATTTGTAAGTTGGAAAGTAGAGTTAGTATTTATGGTGTTGGAAAGGAAGAGTTTGAAGTGAAGAAAAAGGTGATAAGTGTGCCCAGGAGCACAAACCCGGTCGGGTTAGACCATGTACCCGGTCGGGTCTGATGTAAAATCCGAAACTGCCTGGAAAATCATCAGACCCGGTCGGGTCCCCTACTTGACCCGGTCGGGTCAGACTTGACCCGGGACACCAGAACGTGCCGAAGATCGCCAGAACGTGGAGGATATCTGATTTTGACCGGACCCGGTCGGGTAAGCACCTAACCCGGTCGGGTACCCGGCCCAAGGTGTTGAAAAACACCTATAAATAACCCCATTTTCCTTCACAAAGAATCACTCCTTCTTCCATACTCTTAAGCTCAACTTAGAATAGTATTTCTTTTATATTTTTTTAGCATGTTTAGTCTCCAAATGAGGAGCTAAACTTCCATTTCTTGGTGTTGCTCTTGAAGCTTGTTGATTATTAAAGTTGTGAGTTATTTTCTTAACTTCTTCCCTTGAATATTAATTATTCTCTTAATCTATCTATATATTAATGTTGGGGAGTGTTGCTAAGATGACAATTAGATAACATCTTGACATTAGTTATAGTAGGATTATTCATATTTAATCTTCTTCCTTGAATATTAATTCTTCCCTTAATCTATCTCTATATTAATGTTGGGGAGTGTTGCTAAGATGACAATTAGTTAACATCTCGACATTAATTACTACTAGAAACGATCAACGAACCGATGGTTAATCGTTGATGGTTTCACAAGTAAGTAACTTCGGTTTATTAATGCACGGTTGTGGTTAATAAACTTAAGAGGGATTAATTTTGTTGGTTAAACCGAAACCGTTGTGTTGAGGTTATCAATCTCAATTGATTTCATCAAGGAGTTAAGAGATTAAATGCTACTATTAAGTCGGTATATGGCGGTGTTCTATACATGACTAATAGTAAGGGTTATTAATGAACGGTCGTTGTTAATAACTACCCTCGATGAATTGGATATACTCCTCGATTGAGTATTCGAGAGGGGATTAGTTATAGATATAACAATGATCGACTAAAATATATCAACAAGTGGAAAGTAGCAATGCCAAGTCCTTTTTATCTTTGAATTAAATCACATATAACTCGTTCATCTTCGTGTTTAAATTTAAATTAAATCTCTCAATCAAAACCCCCCTTTATTTACTAGTTACATAAAAAGAGAATTATTCCTTTCCCTGTGGATACGAACTCTACTTCACCTATACTACGTGTAAGTGTTAGTATTGAATTTATTTTGAGTGCACTCACGACAAAGTGCACGTCAAATTTGGCGCCGTTGCCGGGGAAAGGCAATTTATTTTTCTTTTTATTTTATTTTAAGAAAAAGGAAAAAAAAATATTACCTAAATATAGAGATTTCTATTCTTCTGAGCTTTGTTTGAGTATATGGTTAAACACCGATCTATAAACCAAATCACCTACCAAACAAACCCCGAAACAGAACAAGCCTTCGAGAGGTTTAGGAATTTATTTCCGAATACTTCTTCAGAGGAGTCATCAAGTGCTAGTTCTTATTCTAGCGAGAACGAAGAGCCAATCACTATGGCTCAAGAAACAAGAACATTGAGGGAGCTCACGGCTCCTAACTTAAATCAACAACCTCTATGTATCACCTTCCCCACTCTTGATGAAGGTGCTACATTTGAGCTCAAATCAGGCCTCATTCATCTACTCCCTTCATTTCATGGCCTAAGGGGCGAGGATGCAAACAAACATCTTGCGGAGTTTCATATAGTTTGCACTAGTATGAAACCAAATAATGTTACGGAAGAACAAATCAAGCTGAGGGCCTTTCCATTCTCACTGAAGGACACGGCTAAGGATTGGCTATTCTATCTTCCCTCGGGAAGCATAGACACATGGGCGGCAATGAAGAAATGCTTCCTAGAAAGGTACTACCCCGCCTCCATCTCATCATCTTTGAAAAAACAAATAAGCAACATTGATCAAAAAGATGATGAGACCTTATATGAATATTGGGAACGGTTCAAAAAGTTATGTGCTAGCTGCCCTTATCATGGCTACACCGAGCAAGACCTCATACTCTACTTTTATGATGGTCTTGTTGATGATGATAGAAGAATGGTGAATGCCGCTTGTGGGGGCGGCATTGTCAACAAAACTCCCTCACAAGCAACAAGCTTAATCTCAGAGTTGGCCGAGAACTCTAGGCATTACAACGGGCGGTCCTCAACCCGTAAAGTTGCCGCGGCGGAATCATCTTCATCTTTAGAAAGTCAAATGGCCGGCTTGACTTCCTTGGTTAAGGATTTCCTTTTAAATCCTAGAAACCAAGAGGTCAAGGTCTGCGGCATATGCACACAGCAAGGGCATCCAACAGATTCTTGCCCAACTCTCCAAGAAGAGCAAGTCAACGCCTTGGGTTTCCAAACCCAACAACAAAAGAGGTACGATCCACACTCTAATACTTACAACCCCGGGTGGAGAGATCACCCTAATTTAAGATATGGGAACCCTCAACCACAACAAAATCAGTCCTTTCAACAATCCTTCCCAAATCATCAAGGTCAAAGCTCCAACTCCAACATGTCCACGGAGGACATGATTCGAGCTCTTGCTACGAACATGGGCACTTTGCAACAAAATGTTTTGCAATTTCAACAAGAAACAAAGTCAAGCATTCAAAATTTGGAAACTCAAGTTAGCCAAATTTCGATTGCTGTGAGTAGGCTAGAGGCCAAAGAATCGGGAAAACTCCCTTCTCAAACGGAGCAAAACCCGAGACAACATGTCAATGCGATCATGACGAGGAGCGGTAAGGAGTTGCAAACAAAGGAGGCTGAAGAAAAAGTTAACAATGACGAGTTTGACCACAACGAGGGGGAACCAACAAAGACAAAATTTCCTCCACTTTCATCATATGAGCCACTCCCTCCATTCCCTGAGGCGCTGAAGGACACAAGGAAGTTGGAGAATGATCGGGACATCTACGAGACCTTCGCCAATTGTGAGGTAAATATCCCACTCTTTAAACTAATCAAAAGTGTTCCCCGTTATGCAAAGTTTTTAAAAGAACTATGCACGATAAAAAGAAAGAATAAATTGAAAGGGAAACAAGAGGTCAAGGTTAGTGAACATATCTCGGCAATTTTCCAGAGGAAACTCCCGGAAAAATGCAACGATCCAGGCATGTTCACTATCCCATGCAAAATAGGGGACACTTTATTTCCTAGGGCCTTGTTAGATTTAGGGGCTTCAATCAATGTTATTCCATATTCATTATACAAGTCCCTAAAACTTGGCCCTATGCATGAA